TATATACCGGTTACATATATTTTAACTATGTATATATATACATATATATACATCACTTTTTATCATTATCATTTATTATTATGGATTTATCTGTATTTTATACAATTCGGATTATATTTTAATTTTTAAAAATGTCGAATGCGTACGTGTATGTATGTGTGTGTGCATGTATGTATACATGTGTATGTGTTTTTCTTGTACATACATATATGCAGAACAGAAGCTGGATTGGAATATCAGCTCTACGGGGGGTTCAGTTGAGTAGTCCGATTAGAGCTTTCAYATAAATACACATGTATGTACATACATACATATATACAATATAAGTGGTATATACACATGTATGTCTGTGGCTAAATCAGAGATGCGCCAAAATAGTAAACAAAGCCGTTGCTGAATTTAAAAAATAGTACGAAATGAAGCAGCTCAAAAGAGAGAGAAAGAGAAAAAAGCGGCTCAACTGGTTATGCAAATGAATCAGGTGTGTGACGCAGGTGTGTGTGCGAGAGCCACACGTGCATAGACATGAAAAGAAGTATAAGTGTATGTGTGCGTGTGAGTCTCTGTGTGTGTGTGTTATCATCAGCTGTAAAAACTTTTATTTTGTTACTGCTGTTGAAAACATGAAAGTATGCTATTTCCGGATGTGGGCGTGTACTTGTATTGTTATCAGCGCATGCATTTGGGAGTGAGAGAGAGAAAGGCAGATAAAGAGAGAGAGAGAGAGAGTGAAAGAGAGGCAAAGTGTGTATATGTCATTCAAGGAATGGCTGTTTAAATGGCTAGTAAAACTACTTAAAATCAAATGCGAGTGGAATTGAAAATGAAATGAAAATGGGCATAAGAGCTCTCTCTCTCTCTCTCTCTCTCCCCCTCTCTCTCTCTCTCTCTCTCTCTCACTCGCTGTCGCTCTGCGTCTGCCCACACGGTAGGAGGTGCAGGCAAGAATAAATTTTCGTAAAGTGCCTCCACATATTTTATTTGCATAGATATCAAGAGGTCAACAATAAGATATATGGATAGCTATAAATACAGCTAGAACTAAATTATAGATCCCTTTGCCTTGACGTAGCATTACGTCGGCCGATCTCCAAATTGTAAATCAGCCCATCAAATTCATGATTTCTTTATAAATACGCACAAATTTTATTCTGTTTGTCTTCCCATATCCATATATAAAAACTTAATATGCAATTTATCGCATATTTTGTAGTTTGGAAATACACATACATACATAGTATCTATATGTAAAGTTATGTCTATGTATATTTATGTTTTGTAGCATTTGAACATTTCAAGAAAATCGATCGTTAAATGTGTTTTTTACACATACATATGTATATCAATTGAATTTTATAACATTTTACATTTTATGGTATTTTTTGTACTCCAAGCTGAAACTATGCTCAAATCATACTACGTTCCCTTTATATACTTATTTGCTGAATATGCTTTCTTGTAGATAACAGTTTCTAACCATCAGCTAATTATATAGAAGATTAACTCATTCTTCACTGATGCAGTAGCTATCAAAGAAGGAGGCGTGGCAGACCCCATAAAGTATGTATATTCTTGATCAGGGCGACGAGCTGAGTCGATTTAGCTCTGTCCCGTTGTTTTGCTATTGATTAAAAACATTATCGAAAACAAGTAATCAATTTATATCTCCTACATCTTTAAAGCTAGAGTCATCAAATTCATCACTGTACAAATGCAAATAGAATAGAATAGAATAGTGTATATGTAAATGAAAATATAAACCATAAATAAATAATAACACATATTTTAATCAAAAATAGTTTTAGTTTATATAATACTAATGATCGATATGCCAATGAGTGACATTGAAAGCATATTATGACTAAACCATCCGCTCACTTAAGAAAATGCATTTCTTAAGCGCTCAATACACACACACACACACACACACACACACACACATAGACACTCATTTCGGACGTGCTAAGCGGTCATCACGTACTCTTAGATACAATATTTCGATAAGAGAGTATATAGTATGTAAATACGTATGTGTGTGTATACCTATACATATACATATGTATAAGTTTGTTGGCCGCTTGCTGTTCGCGCAGCTATTGGAAAATCTGGAAAATCCTGATCTGCCATGCGGCTTACATATGTGTGCGTGCGTGTGCTGTTCTGTTGTTATTGTTGTTTTTGTTTTTTCTTTAATTTGGGCAGCAACAAGCGTACGAAGTAAAACTGTAAATCGTTCTCACCATGTGCCGCGAAAATCTTTAACACAAATGCACATCATAATTTATTTCAAATTGGGTTTCAGTTCGGCTTATTTATGCATATACAAATAGACACACTATACGTATATCTATTTATCTAAATATATAAATACATACATACATACATAGTATATGCATGTTTGTTCATAATCATATATCAGCTAAAAGTGTCGGCTGCTGCTTCCGCCTGCCCCCACAGCCCCTCCCCATCTCCTCCACGCTCTAATACAAATGCATTGACTCCGGCAGTTGCGAGCTCTAAAAATAAATGGCAGCGGCGACAAAAATGCGCCGGAAAAACTTGAGCAGCAAAAAAAAAATAAAAATAATAATAAATAAAATAAAAACTGGAGAAAAGTGCAGTATCAGAAGAGGCATTGGAGCAGATGAACAACAGTAAGAAGTAAGAGGCGAAAATAGACGTGAAAAGCACAGAATGAGACAGCGCCCACTAAATATAGAATATATTTCACAAGTGGGTCTATAGGTATGTACTTAAATACATACATACATGCATATACTATGTATGTATAATGATGTACATGCATACAAATATGTGTACGTATGTGTATGTGCATCTGTATAGGCAAACACACACACACATACTTACATCTTCTGCTATTTGGCTTTTATGTTTGACTCTTACATATTATGTCAATTCGCCGCAAAGCTTTCGGTCTGCGCGCTCTACTGCACTGTCTACCCTATCTCCTCTCCCGTTCACACCAACGCGACTGGAGTGGATCGAGCAGGCAAAGTAAATAAAAAGAAAAGAAACGGGGAACAAAACAAACGTAATTGAGATTTCCGCTTTAGCACAAAGAGAGCAAACACACAGAATATGTAGACGAAATAGAATAGAACAACGACAAGTGAATGCGAATGAGAATGAGATTGACAATAAATGTATGCTGGGACAGTGGAAAGAAACAGCTCCCAAACAAACCCAATGGCTGTCTAATTGATGTTGAGTACGCTGTAAGTGAAACAAAAGCAATRCATACATACATATGTACATAGTTTAAGTGGCAGCGGGTAGGCAAAGGAGGGAACCAACCAGACATGCTGCACATGCACAAACATGCGAACACATGCACACAAATGCACACACACATATATATACACACACACACACACAACCACACAAGAACAGCTACGACCACAACATTAATAAGAATGACAATGATCATAAGAATAAATGTGGGGACACACACAGCTACATATATA